CAACCCGCCCAGACAGACAGACAGACGGAGGAAGCTTTCTCCCTCCCTCCCCCCCTCCTTCCTTCACCCACCCACTCACTCACCCACCCTACCTGTCTAGGCGTTCGTTGTCTCCGTCCACAACGGGCTTTGCTCCCTAGTTTATTCATAAAGCTGAGTTTTGTACTAGGGTGTCATTCAGTTTCCTTTGAGGCTGAGAGAATAGGCCTAGAGTGGATACTAGGTCTCATTCTGGCCACATTTGGAGTGACTTTCCCAAATTGCTTATGTGCAGCAGGTGCCCTACAGACAACCAAGCAGTGTGTGCTAAATATGGGTCTAAGACAGAGCACAGAACAGGCATTTGTAACAGACACCATGAGTCTCTTAACTGACTGGACAGATGTGGCTGTTGGCTTCCGTTCACTTGTCACTCCAGTGTCAACAACCAATATGCCGTCTGGATTTTAGCAAGCATGGGCAGAAAATACTTCTGTAGCTGAGGTGGTCCCTTTTTCTCCTCAGCCATGGACTTAATATACACTGTGACAAATGCTCCTTCCCCCCCCCTGCCCCCGCTCTCTCTTTCCAGGCTCCCTGTTCATCGACTGGCAGCTCGAGCCCTGTTGCAGGACCTGGAGGGCACTGGAGAGAAGGATGAAGAAAAACAGTGCCTGGCTCTGGAGACGAGCCTGAGTTCCGGGGTGATATGTTCCCTGACGGCCTACATCGGGGTGAACACAGAGATGAGCCAGCCAGTGCAAGGCCCCATTATCCACAGAGCTCTCCCACCTCCAGGTGAGTGAATGAGCTGTGCTCAATCACAGAAAGGCGGATGAACTGAACCCAGGGATTTAGGACTGGGTATGATCTCTGGGAAAGCAAATGGGTTTGTTTTTAATTTAGAACATTTCTATGCCATCTCCGAGAGACTTGCTCGAGGTGGCTTATAAAATAAAGCGTCATAAAACTCCAAACAGCTAACTTTAAATTATTTTTTAGGAGCTATACGCTCCATACCCTCCCTTGGATGGCCCAGGCTAGACTGGCCTCGACAGACGCCAGAAGCTAAGGCAGGGTTGGCCCCAGTGTCAAGACTGGTCCTCCTTGGTCCATGTTATGTACTGACAGCATAACATGAATCGCCTAATCCACCTCCCATGTTGAGCTTCGAGCCAGCCTAGGCTCCGACTGTAATCAAAAGCTTTGGTCGCATCGGAACAGCGACCAATCACAAAGAGACTATTCACTGAGCGGGAAGGACTCTGATTTGCCTTTATCCTTACAATCTGATTGGTTGTTATGTATATAGTAGGCGTGGCTATGTTAGCCCGGCAGGTTTAAAAGGAGCCCGGCTCCAATGTTTTACTGTTCTGGTTTCTGAATGCGTTTGAGTGCTTGTTCGTATTTCCATTAAAGCTGAATCACTTGCTGAAATCACTCTACGAGTCCTTTGTTAGCGCGATCTAACAGTCCAAGAGATTTGCTTCCCCTTCTCCAACCTGAGACCCTGGAGCAAGCCCCACTGTGGTAATCTAACCCAGCATAGTTTGAGTTTGGGCCAGTAGGCTCCCAGCAACACGCCATAAAGCAAAACAAAGCTGTATTAGACAGAAATTAAACAATTTTCAAAGCAATACCATTCCAGTGGAGAGATCACGCACACAGAAGATAATAAAACGAACGTCTCTAAATACACTTACTGGACAAGGCCTTTGCAGCTTAGATCTTAGTTTATCAAAACTCTAGCAGATTCATTCCAAAGCAAGCAGCAAATCTATTACAGATGTCACATATGGCAAAAGCAGGTAACGGGGAAAGGGAAATAGAACAGGATAGTCTAATGGCATAGACTACATTATAGAAATGTGAGAGACATAAACCTCTTGACCCTCACCAGCCGATTGCTGTTCTGTCTCTGATGGTTCTTCTGGAGGAAGAGCTAGTTCCCTTCCTCCCATCTCTATCCAGCTGAAGTCAGTGAACAAATTAGTAGGCCTAAGAAACAACCTTGATGAAGTAATGGTCTAGGAGGGGTGGTGTAGAGGTAGCTGACTTCGGTCATTAACCAACCAGAGCCAAAACAATTTTGGGAGTGGAATTTTCTTCGAAAGATGTCTTCCCTCTTGACACCTGATTACTATTTGGATGGGAGGCCACCAAGGAAGTCCAGCGTCACTGTGCAGAAGCAGGCAATGACAAACCATCTCCAAACATCTCTTACCCTGAAACCCCTATGGGGTCACCATAAGGCAGCTGTCACTCGATGGCACTTTTCACCACCATTGACCCAGCTTTTTTTAAAAACAAAAAACAGAAAGAAGGTGAGTATAGCATAACATATTCAACAATGTTAAAAGGATCTCATAAAACAGGCCAGAGTAGACTACAAAAGCTGTTTAAAAGATTCCCTCCCCCCCATCAAAAGCCTGGGTGAAAAAGAAGACGAGACTCATTGGAAAGGACAGTAATGCTAGGAAAGTTTGTAGGCAGCAGGAAGCGAGGAAGACGCGGCATGATGTATTGAATCAATAAAGGAAGCCACGGCCTTTCAATCTGCAGGACTCCAGCAAGGCTGTTAATGATAGGACATTTGGGAGGTCACTAATTCATAGGGCTGTGATAAATTGGAAGTAACTTGACAGCACATAACACACAATGAATGTTTTATGAGTACAGTCAACACGAAGTGAGCTTCAAGGGGAAGAGTATCCCAGAGTGTTGTGATGTCTCAAGCTGGGGTCAGGGCAGTGGACATGAAGGTACCAGCTTGTAGTGTCCTGGCACCACTGGTGGACCTACTGATGGCACCTGGTATTTTTGGCCACTGTGTGACAGAGTGTTGGACTGGATGGGCCATTGACCTGATCCAACATTAGCTTCTCTTATATTACATTCATACCCTTCAGATGTATAAGTGCATGATGGATAAATGGTTTTTCATAGTTTCTTTGATGGCCCACTCAGGGTAGATCTGGATGTGGAACAGATTATGTCTTTCCTTGAACCAGAACCTATTTATGGAAAACAAGGAGGGGCATTGGCTTCAAGGGGGCATTCAAAGGCAGCAAGAAAAAATGCTATGAAGCTGATTCTGTTGTTTTTGTTTTCACAGGGCAACTGTATTTATATAACCCAGGTAATGTATCAGAAGGAGTTATAATAAGTGGAGGGGACAGAGCTGATGGACCACGTAGATATCACCATATCACTGTCTCTAATTTAGGGTTGCCTACAAGAAAATCAAATTTAAATTGTCCAATGGCATTAGGCTTAATTCATCAGGTGATTCGAAGGTGGCCAGAGAAGAATGAGTGTGAACTAAAGTAAGGAGAAGGATCACAGTACAAGGAGAGTAAAGATGCCTGAATAGAGCATCAGCTGACTAAGGCTATAGCTGGTTAATGCCTTCAAAGGCAGATCCTCTAGTGGCCATCACAAAATTTTGCACCAGTAAATTCCACACATAAACAATATGCTCTGTCCAGAGCTTTGTACCCTGGAGCCAGGGCCGGCCCGAGGTTTTTTGGCGCCCTAGGCGAAACTAGTGCTCCCCCAGGCGAGGCTGCCTTGTGGTGCCCCCCCCTCACCTTGTGTCTCCCCCTGCCGCTGCCACGTGCCTCTCCGGTGCTCAAGCTAGGCGCATAGGGTGGAGGAGAAGAGGGGGCTACAAGGCTCTTCGGAGGGTGGCCCTTCTGCTTTTTCTTCCCCCCCCGCCCGCTTCCCTCTGTCTCTCCTCCCCCCCCGGGGGACTGGGAACCCCCCAGCCGTGTGTGCACCGTCCCCTTGCTCCCTGCGGGGACGGCGCCAAGGAGACTCACCGAGGGCGGTGTGAAGGAATCGTCCAGTCCGAGCCGGCCTGTCTCCGAGGAGGAAGTGGCAGCGGATCTGCTCCAGCCCCCTCTATGCACCACGCATGCCTACCTGAGCCGCCCTGTCGCTGGGCCCTTCAGGCAGCGCCGTCCGCCTCCTTCCCGCCCTGCAGGCCACCTGCGCCTCAGGACAGGCCCCGGGAGCAGCAGGGGGGATGCTTCCTCCCTCCTCGTTTCTTTCCCCGTCTGCTTCTGGGTGCAGGACTCGGGGTGAAAGAGGCGGCGGCGGTCCCCTGGTCCGGGACTAGATGCATGCAGGGCTTTTGGCGGGGGGGGGGGGGGGGGGGGGGGTTTGGGCCCTCGGGGTGAAAGAGGCGGCGGCGGTCCCCTGGTCCGGGACTAGATGCATGCAGGGCTTTTGGGGGGGGGGGGGGCGAGTGCAGTTTGGCACCCCTAAGGGCCAGCCCGGTCTAGGTGAACACCTAGTTTGCCTAGTGAGCGAGCCGGCCCTGCCTGGAGCCTTATAAGTGTGGTAGGAAGTACTTCTGCCCTTAGGAGTGTAGTTGCTTGCTAAGGAGGAAATCTCCCCAAGTAAGCAATAAGGCATGGCAAGTACAAAGAGGGAAATCATACAGCCAAGGGAGATGTTGCTGGCTACGTGTTACTTGGTGATTCTTCTGAGTGCCCTTCTCATCCCCTGTAGGGGGGGAAGATCCCACCCCCAAGAAAAAGGAATCCCCTCTCCTGAGGCTGGTCTCCCTGCAGAATGCAGAGGGCTCCTGGAGCCTCGATTCCAGCCTGGCCAGTCTGCTGGGCCTGAGTGAGGCAAAGATCACGAGCAAAACACCTGAACAGGTAAGTTCTGTGGCAAGGACAGAACCTGGCATTTGAACGGGTGTCTGGGCAGGGCCATAGCACTCTTAGGTGTCTTTTTGCCTGATTTTAGGGTGAAGAACAGACATAATTTATTCCTAACCCAGTTTATTGACTTCAGTTCTGGTTCCAAACCTATAGTGAAACCAGTTCCAGAAAAAAAGGGGGCAGGGAGGAAAACTGAATTAATTAATTATGGTCTACTCAGTGAAGATAGTAATGTTCAACCATAGTTAATGCAATCCCAGGGTTTCACATCCCAGTTTGCATCCCACCTGAAAACATAGTTTCAGTTTCTTTGCTTGATCATGGTTACGTGGTGGGCCTGGGCAGGGCCTGTGAGCGGGCGGGACTCAGTGTCTCTCTTCTCTCTCTCCCCCCCCCCACTAGGTGGCCCCCAATGTGTGGGCAACTGTGCTGGCCATCCTATGGCTCCACTCCAACGCTGCAAAGCAGAGGGATGAATGGGAGCTGCTGGAAGCGAAAGCGCTCGACTGGCTTCAAGCAACTGCAGGTGAGAGGGTTGTGGCGGGTTAACAAAAGGATCCTGAGAACAGGGCAAGAGATGGAAGGCAAAGGCTGGAGTCTGGAGAATGGGACTGAGGCAGCAGCCTCCAGTTCAGCTAATCCCCAGTTCAGGATCTAGTTCTCCAAGGCTGGCTATTTCACCCCTTTTCTGACCATTGCCCAGTACTCCTCCTCTCAAAGCTGGAAAGTATTACGTGGCTCAGTCACATAATCAGCCTAGGGTGGGGTCCCCCCCCCCCGTTAAGCATCTAAAGCTTTGGAGAGCCAGTTTGGTGTAGTGGTTAGGAGCGCGGACTCTAATCTGGGAGAACCGGGTTTGATTCTCCACTCCTCCACATACAGCTGCTGGTGTGACCTTGGGTAAGTTACAAGTTCTTTCAGAGCTGTTCTCTCATGAGCAGCCCTCAGAAGAGCTCTCTCAGCCCTGCCTACCTCACAGGGTGTCTGTTGTGGGGAGGGGAAAGGAGATTGTAAGCCGCTCTGAGATGCCTCCAGGTAGTGAAGGGCAGGGTATAAGTCCAATCTCTTCTTCTTTGTCAAGACATACATTATGCATACCTGAAATATTCTGCTAAAGCCAAATCTCAGTATATGCAACCGATGCAGAGTGGCTGCATCTCATCTCCACACCCCTAAGGCACCTGGAGGTTTGGTGGAAAGAGCCATGCATTTGGCACTCTCTTTCCCCTCTCGTCTGCTGCACCCTCACTCTTTCTGCTGTTCCCAGGCAGCTCATTCCCCATAAGGGCAACAAAGTGTGGACAGCTGGCCTCTGGGAGCCTGCACATAGGTGGCTTCACTAGACTCTGGGCCTCATTTAAAGGTGAATTTTCCCATTTGTTCTTTCTGGCATTTTAGACACTGGGTTTGCAATGGATGGCACCCCAGTGCTATTTCCCCTGTATTCTACGGCACCCTACAGAACTGGACTTCTAAGAGAGTCTTGCAATAAGAGACCCTATTTCATGCAATTGAAGACGGGAGGGGAATGAGGTCCCTTGGCTAAAAATGACTACTTCCCTATCCTTGGAAATAAAAATATAACCACTCTGAACTCTTGAAATCTTCTTTTGTGTAGCAATCTATTACCCGCTAAATATATTTTTACAAGGGCTGGGGTGGGTGGTGTCCTTCAGGCAGGGTCTCTAGTGACAGCAGGAAGTGGCCCTCGAATAACAAAGCCCTACAGAGAGAGAGGGAGATGGGGTTTCTCCTCCAAAAGGGAATTGTCTTGGCACCTGCCCGAGCAGGAGCAGAGCACCTTTCCATGCAAGGAGTTGTGACAGTAACAGCAGGAAGAGTGACTGTTGCCTTTCCCAGGAACAAGCAAGGGAATAGGGGTCCCTTGTGGGATAGGACCATATCAGGCTGACATGGCTCAGGGTCTGTCAACTGTAAGCCATTAAGCTAGCCCGCAGGGGTCATTTCGTAGAAAAAGAGGTGCAGGGGCTCATTAGCATAACTCATTAGCATAACTTATTTGCCTATGCCACACCCCCTGACATCACCGGAAGTGTGTCAGAAGGCAACACCCACCGCTCAGGCTCCACTGGACTCTTGGATTGCTAGCTATTGGGGGGGGGGAACGTGCAGATCTGCCCTCGCAGAGGAGGGAGAGCTTGTACCTGAATAAAACCTGGTCTTAAAGGTGCCACTGGACTGTTTTGGACCGGGGGGCTGGGGGGGGGGCTCTGCAGCTTACCTGGCTGCTTCCTGCTCTGATTGAGGGCTGCTGGGAGTAGGGGGTGGGGCTTGTTGCATGTGCCCGCCCCCTGGGCTCTTGACTGCCGGAGCTCCGCTCCTGTGCGCTCCTGCAGGAAATGACCCCTGAAGCTAGGGCACCAGTTGTGTCAAGTTGTGTTAGCTTTCTGTGGCATTCTATCTGTTTTGCATTCTTCTGTGATTAGGAAACAATTTTCTTTATTCCTCCTCGCCCCTGCAAGTAACTGCATACACCTTACCTTACTCTTGGTTTCCTCCAAATAAATGTAACATGTATTAAGAGGACCTGTGCTGTCTTCAGATTGCTCAGGTGCTAAAGGCCCAGCCTTTATGTATGCTGGCCTGGGGGGGGGGGAGCAAAAGTGGGCCTGTTGGACTCTGAGGTCTCAGTGACGGGTGGTGCAGTGACCTGGTGAGTGTGCACGGGCTGTTATTGTAGGGGCAGCAAACAGTGGCCTAATGGATTCAGGGAAGCTGTGTCCTCTGTTTTTTCTGGAGGAACCGTGACATCTGGCATTTTGTGACTCTTGTATAGATTGTTTAAAAATAGGGGTTTTTCCCCCTTTTTTGACGCTTGAAGGGGTTGCACCTTCTCCCCTGTGCTAAAGCACAAAGCGCCAAAGACTTAAATAAGATCTTCTGCACACAACAGAGCATTAAGCCTGGATGGGACCTTGTTCTGTCTTTACTGAAAAGGGACTTGCAGAACCCTCCCAGAGATATGCTAAAATGCAGCCTGAGTATATTGTGCTTGTGGTGAAAGACTCTTAACCCTTTCACTGTTTGGTATAGGGTCTCAGCTAGCGGACTGCGTGAAGACTGGCAATGCAGTGCTGGGCAGCAGCGTGAGCCCCCAGACTCTGGGTCTCTGAGCTCCTCTCTGTTCCCTTGTGCCTTTGCTCCTCCTTCTCATCCTGCCCATGTGTAACCAGCTTCATTATCGTGCCTGAGAGCCTCTCTTACCAGTGTGCTGGGGCTCCACCGTGCCTGAAAGTTGCTTGGACAGTCGTTCATTATCGTGCCTGAGAGCCTCTCTTACCAGTGTGCTGGGGCTCCACCGTGCCTGAAAGTTGCTCCTCTTTCCTCTGCCACGAAGGTGCCTTATGGTCCTGAGTCCCCTATCCCAGCACGTGCAGTGTGGTAGGTTCAGTAGTCAAGCTCTGCCCTTTATAAACTCTGTAGTTGTAAATGCTTCCCATTGGTATAATATGGAGAATAAATATTAAAGTGAATTGTACTGCTGCTAAGAGGGTGTGATGACAAGCTGTGATGGACTCTTCCCTTGAGTTAGGGATTTTGGCAATTAGTAGGCATCCCTTCGGGATGTGAAAAACCTCTACCTGAAACCTCGGAGAGCCACTGCCTGTCTGAGTAGACCTTGCCAGTGGTCTGATTGAGTATGAGCCATCTTCATGTATGCGTATGATGTTTTTAAACCACACACACAGGATAGATGCCCCTGGAAGTCAGGATTTTTTAAAAAAATTTGAAATACCAAGGAAGGTATTGTTGGATGTTCAGAGGTTAGAAGAAACCTACTTGCTCCTCAAGAGTTATAAAGGGGTGCAATTTCTTTTAGGTCAAAGGTCTTACTCTTAAACTTCAAAGGGGCCCTCAAATGCTTCACTGCCCCAAATTTAGAGTGCTACAGTGAGATGGGCCCAGAGGACAGATAAATATACAGACAGACCTGATGAGATTGGAGGACAAGCTGTGATGAAATCTCCCTGGAGTGAAGATTTTGGCAATTAGTAGGTATCCCTCAGGGGTCATTCGTATCTTGGGAAGAAGGGTCATACAAATCCTGAGAATGAGAATTTAAAGCAGGTCTCAGTTCCGTGATGGTAATAATAAGATAATTGAGTTTGAACAACACTGAATTTAACTGTTCAAAAATACCCTCCAATGTTCTAGCACACAAAAGTGAGACTTCTGTGACCTGTTTAAACATTGTAACTGAACTTCTTCTCAATTGCACCATACAGTTCAAAACCCATACTAGTATCGGGGCAATCAGTGGCAAGAGGCTTTTCTAGGGGAGCTATAGCTGGAAATGTAGAAGCAAAGGGAGCCATCCAACATGAAAACTTTGTGCCCCAGGAGGTTAATAGGAGCCGGAAAGGAGTTAATTTTGCTCTGCTTAGAGAGCCAAGAAGGTAGTGAATCAGCTGGCCGTTGTAGGCACTTTCGGGCAACGGGGTCCCCATAGCTTCAAAACCCAACTAGAAACCTAGCTAGAAAAGACTTAAACCCCCACCCCCCAAAAAAGGTTATGGATAATAGTAGGTTACAGGTAATACCATAAGACAACAGGTTATGCTGTGCAAGATGATTCCCCAATTAATAACTGTCTCCTTAGGAAATAAAGAAGAGAGACAGTAAGAGCAATTGGAGAAGAAACAGTCACTGGAGACGAGTGAATGCCAGTGCCTTTCTGCACTCGCAAGGACCCATCCAATACAGTCCAGTGGCCGTGCTGTGGGTGTAGGTTTATCAAATGTTTGCTTTCATGGCAGGGTGACTGAATATCTTATAAAATGGGCTGACAGGTTTTGATTTGCCAGAGCTGTGTCGTGAGTGGCACAGGTGCACAAATGTAGCCTATAAATGAGGGCAATCCAGCTAATGGCGTCAAGGCTAGGGGCTACACTTCACCCTGCACAGCGATGGTTCCAGATGGTACCACATGGAACAGTAAGTAGACTTCCAAAACTCTCAGGCTGCTGTAAGGTAACACCACCTCCCAAAAAATTGCCATTAAACATCGGCTGTAGGTCTGTGCCTGTTGTCCAGGAAGCTAGCAAAACAATGTATAAAGCTGATGTTTAGAGGCTTACACAGGCCAACCGCAGATTGTGACTTTCAGCCAATGGCAGCTTTGATTCCTCCGCTACACCAGAGAACTCTTTAAAAGTTCAAAGCTTTCAGGAAAAACTTAGAGGAATGCAGAACACAAGAAAAACTGAATAAGTGAAGGCTGTCCAGTTAATGGCATCTGGCTGATAGCTTCTCCGCTTCCAAACACTCGGCAACAAGTTCTTAGAAATCCCAGGACTTGGAATGATAACAGCAGACACCCAGAAGGACTAGAAAAAGGATTTAGCAAGCTGGATGTAGTTTGTATCTTATTAATATCTTGTAAATGCGGAGCTTGAGTAAAAGCATCCCTCATCTTCCCCAGCCTCCGGTTAATGGGGGCCATCCTAAAATTCTGCCGCACTAAAGTGGGCTTCCTGATCCCACCGTAAAACTTCCAGAGCAAGGTAACTGCCCAACTCCTAGAGGTATGGGGTTGGAATGTTGCCATGGTTGTGAACCCAGAGAGGAGTCAAAACCTTTTCCTGAAATGGATCCTGGTACTACTCCCAGATGCTCCAGCTGCCTTGATGAGAGCTGAACTAGACCTTCCATCTATTCAGGCACATGTGCACATAGCCCTAGTTAACTACTGGCACAAATTGAAGAGTGTTCCAGTTAGTCTTCTCTCTAGCATTTATATCACTCTATTTCAGAAAGGTTCTGCGTGATCCACCAATTACAATAAAATATTCCATCTGTATAAAATGCCAGATGTTGTTTGTGGTGCCAGCCAGGCCAATTTCAGTTGCCAGGCCTGGGTATGCATGCATGACACTGCTGCTGATAGGCAAGTTATTTCAGGTACTAAATTCTCTCCCTAGTTTAAATTAAACGGGATCATTCTAGGGCACACTATCTGTCCAAGATTACCCTTTACAAATTTTTCTTAGCCTTCACATCTATTTGTTTTCAAACAATGAAAACTGCCAGGCTTGTAGAAAACTATACACAAAAACTAGTCAGTCAAAATCTATGCATTTGCAGAGCCTTACAACTAGAAGATCTATGCCATTACTTGTTGGCCTGTCTGCTTTATGTAGCTTTTTCCAGGCAAAAAATTTTTTTCTTAGACACTATTCTGGCTAGCTTAGGCCCCAGCACGGCAATGGAGAAAGTTTTGTTTCTCCTCTCTCTCCTACAAAGTTGCCCTTTTGCCTTAGCATCCAAAGACTAGGCCAGCAAAATGTTATTCTTTTCCAAAGCCTGCTGGATGAATAGCCAAAAAGCTACTTTTATTAAATGAATTGTAATTGTTACAGAAATGTAACTTTTAGCAGTTTTTGGTAGCAATCTTTTGGCTTGCTGCCACAAGGGCCAGGTCCTTTTCAGTGGCGGCTCCTATCTGGTGGAATGAGCGAGCTCCCGGAGGAGATCAGGGCCCTGCGGGACTTGTTACAGTTCCGCAGGGCCTGCAAGACAGAGCTCTTCTGCCAGGCTTTCGAATAGGAGCCACCACCACCACCAATTGGGGCCTGCAAAGCTGGACCGCTGGGCTAGGTTGATTGGCCATTGAACATCGGGGCCATAGCATTCCCCCCCCCCCTTTTCTTTGATTTAGTGGGATGTGCAATAGGGGCGAGTGTGTTAGTCGCGCTGGATCCTTGGGAGTTGCCCATTGTATTTAACTGTTTTAAAATGTTTTAACCGTATTTTTATTGCACTGTGTGCCTTGATCGCGTAACTATGGTGTTGTTTTATGCCTGTGTACTGTAAGCCGCCCTGAGCCCGCGAGCGGGGAGGGCAGGATATAACTGTAATTAAATAAATATCCATTGCTATTTCACATTTGTTCTTATTTGTAATGGCCTTTGGCTCTACACAATAAAATCCAACTACATAAATATGCTGTGTGGTGAAGAGAATGGCTTTCTTCTATGTACCAAAGAACAAGTGCCTCAAAAGAAAAATAAATGGAAAATTCACACTCTCCGTTAATTAAATGTATTTTTTTAATGTTCACCTTTCTCTGTCCTCTAAAACGTCTCAGAGCAATTCAATAAATGTGGGAGAAGAAATGCTCAGATGTCCAAAGTATTGCCTTCAGACGAAAGATATAGAAAGTGGTAGAAGAGGCATTTCAGAAGTGCTGGTGGTCCCACAACACTGCGAGACTAAGCATTCTATTGGTATTATTGCAATGCCTCCGTAATGCAGTCACTCAGGCCCTCTTAACTTAAAAGTACAAATTTGGGTATGTGCAAACTGACCACTGGGTCTTCCAGAGTGCTGTTTTGTGTGTATCAAAGGTGTACTCGCATGCAAAATACATGTGGTATGTGGGGTAGAAGTAAGCTCTGCTAGCCCAGTCATCTTCCTAGCTAAAGACATGGGAAATTTGCATGGGAGGGGTACGTATGCACAGATGACGAGTCCCTCTCCTAAATATAGGAGGTGCAGATTTGCAATCCTGGGAAGATTTTTCAGGAACTGTACGCATCTCTTGAGATAGACAGGAGGCTGTCCTGCCCCTGAAGGGAAAAGCAGCTATTCAGCTGAACCTTTAGGTGTGCTCCTCCAGCATCCAGTCACTTTTCCAAAGAGCGATGGAATGTTGGAGGGAAGCACAGGAGGAGTGCAGTGGTACCTTTGGGACCAACAAAGTTTTATTCTGGATACACAAAAGCTTATTGCCAGAACTAAACTATGTTGGTCTTAAGGGTGCCATTGGACTCAAACTTTGTTCTGTTGCTTCAGACCAACATGGCTAACAGGCTGACTCCGTAGTTCCACTGAGTTCTCCCACCATTTTCCACATGGGAGAAACACTGAAGATAATTTGTCCATCTTATCCAAGGCTCATCCTTACTTCTCTCACCACCCCACATGGTTTTTGTCCATGCAGGTCCCACAACCCCTGGTGTGGCCTTTTTCATGGTAAAAAGGAACAACATCCAACCTTTTTTCCAAGCAGAAGAGCTGGTTAGACCCAACTAAGAAGCTGATATGTACATTCATGGTTAGCCAGCTGTTTCAGAAATCTCTCTAAGCCAGGAAAATGTTTATTATTATTATTTAATAATTTCTATACCACCCTCCCCCAAAGGGCTCAGGACAGTGTACACCATGCGTAAAAACATACAATACTTAATTTAAAACTATACCACCCTCCCACAAAGGGCTCAGGGCAGTGTACACCATGCGTAAAAACATACAATACTTAATTAAAAAAACATCAACAGCATCAGACTTCAAAGAACCAGTGATTAATCAGAATAAAAATGAATAATAAGCCTCTCCACGATGGTGCTCCGTATGTGGTTTCTTCCTTCAAGGGGTGGGTCATGGGCCGGATGCGATGGAAAGCCGTGCCATCCTCAACCATAGGCCTGGTGGAACATACACAAGGTAGTGACAAATGTTTCCAAAACCTCTCTACCATTCCTAGAGGCAGGAACTCATTAGCATAATAGGCCACACCCAACAGCAGACACTCATTAACATATTAGGCCACACCCCCATGTTACCAGAAGTGTGGTCATCCAGCCACACCCACCTTTTGCTTCTTATTCTGTTTACTTTGTTGTCAAAACCCAGGGCTTTTTTTGTAGCAGGAACTCCTTTGCATGTTAGGCCACACACCCCTAATGTAGCCAATCCTAATGAGTTTCTGCTCTTGGGTGTGGCCTATTATGCTAATGAGTTCCTGCTGGGCGTGGCCAACTCAGGAGCCAGCCGGAACTCCGTTCCTGTGCGTTCCTGCCCAAAAATAGCCCTGCCTAGAGGCAATGCTTAGCCTTCACTCATTCCCAATAACTGAAGGAGAGATAGGAATCAGAGTCTAGCAACTTATACTGAACTCCGCAGTGTGCCTCCTTGTAATGAGTGGAATCACTTGGGGCACTTTCCTTGCATTTCTGCCCTGCCATAGCTTTCTCAAGCCTGCCATTTGCCAACGCTGTCAAAGAGAAGCAGAAGAAACACAAACGTCTTGGGCACAACTTAAGATCTGAGCACTAGAACTTAGACCAAAATCACCGCTCCCCAATGCAAGATTTAGCTGTGGAATAGCCACTTGGTTTATTTTTATTTACTGTGTTTATAGCGCCTTTTCTGGCTGAGGCTCAGCGCAAAGTTCATAGTAAAATCAATGCAATCAATAGGATGAGGCATCTATTAATGTAATAGCGCTAAGATTACAGCAACCTGAAACAAACAGAGCGTTAGTCATATATTAAGCAATGCAGGGAAATAGTCTTGAGTAGAAAGAACCTAGTGAAAGGAAGATAATACATGCAGCAAACAGTTAATACATACTACACCGGGTGGCATGTGGTATAGGTCAATTTCGTTCCTTTTAAAAAGGTAAAGGTTCCCCTGCTCGAAAGCCAGGGTTGCGGTGCTCATCTCCGTTTCAAAGCCGAAGAGCCAGCGCTGTCCGAAGACGTTTCCGTGGTCATGTGGCCGGCATGACTAAACACCAAGGCGCACGGAACGCTCTTACCTTTACAAACCTATTAATCTGGGACTGGAGACACCTGGATTCAAATAAACTACTATGAAGCTCACTTGGTGACGCTGGGCCAATCATATTCTTGCAATTCAACCGGCTATGGCGGAAGGGAGATCCGTCTAGCTGTTCTGAGTTCTTTAGAGGAAAAGCAAGAGGAAAAAATATAACGGAAGCTACTGGAGGTGTGGAAGGTGACAGCGTTCCCACTTCAGTGGGAAGGTAACAGCGTTCCGTGCGCCTTGGTGTTTAGTCATGCCGGCCACATGACCACGGAAACGTCTTCGGACAGCGCTGGCTCTTCGGCTTTGAAACTGAGATGAGCACCGCAACCCTAGAGTCGGATTCGACTGGCTTTCGAGCAAGGGAACCTTTACCTTTACCTTTTTACTGGAGGTTAACACCATTCATGGCCACAATCTGGGGAAAGCACCTTGAGAAGAAAAGGTATCGATAACAGTACTGATTCCGACTTTCACTCCTTTTGAAATGACATGTCGGGGAAACTAAACGCGGAACCGCCTTGTGACAGTTTCCCGTCGCCCCCGGCAGCTGCCAAAAAAAAAATCCTCTAGAAGCCCTTCGTGTTTGTTTTCACTTTTCAGCAGAAAGTCAACGAGAGGAGGAACGGAGTCCCGCCGCCTAGCAACTCCTGCGCAGAGCTCACAGTGCAGGCACGCCCCCCTTGAGGGCGCCCAACCCCAAGGACCTGCAGTCTTTCTTCCGCTCACAATACAGGGCACGTTTGCTTTGCGGCTCAACCCCGCCCCAACGACAGGCTCCGTGGGCGGAAAGGCGCACCTGACATTTCCAAGCTGCACCACCGAGGCTCATCCCTCCGCGGGAATCTGAATGTTGACCAGCCGAGGCTGAAATTTGTAGACACTCCCCGGCGAGGGCGGGGATCTCGGGAAGTACTCGGGCTCCCGAAGGTTTTGCTTTCCATTCTGCCCTCCGGCTGCTGCAGAAAGGAGCAAACCCGCCGCGTAGAAGTGCCGTGAGTAGCGCGAACTTGTCCCTCTCCCGCGGCTACATTGTTTTAAACGACCGTGGATCAGTAGCCCGTTAGGGACTCGAGCAAGAAGGATTACTCCTCCGAGCCCGTCGCGAATCACCCAGGTCAACCGTGCTACGCAGTTGCATCCTGCGCGAGAACCTCCCACCAGTTTGTGCCCGCTTCTCTAGGGCCGGGTTGTGATGGCAGGATGATGCCGCCTGCGCTCTAAATGTCAGAGGCCCCGTTCGTTTCAGGCCCTGATCTGGATAGCCCAGGCTGGCCCGATCTCGGAACCTACGTAGGGTCGGTCCCGGGTAGTATTTGGACGGGAGACCTCCAAGGAATACCAGGGCAGCGTGACGCGGAGGCAGGCAAGGGCCAACCACCTCTGAACGTCTCCTTGCCTTGAAAACCTCCAAGGGGTTGCCGAAAAGTCAGCTGTGACTTGATGGCACTTCCCACCATCCATTACGAGCAGTGTTTCCTCTAAGCTGAGTTAGTGTGAGCTAGCTCACAGGTTTTTTTAGCCTCCAGCTCACACATTTTTTGTCTTGGCTCAGGAAGGAGGGCTCCAGAGCCAACTAACTTCTGCAGCAGCCGAATCGCTCGCTCACAATTTTAATGCCAGTCGTTCACACAGTAGAATTTTTGCTCACAAGGATCCATAGCTTAGAGGGAACATTGATTACGAGTAATGCTTTATTAAGCTCCCAGGGGCCTCCTAACCCTTTTCTTGGCCCTCCGAGCAATTCGTTGTGACTGTGGGCTTGGAAGGATTTCACCGTGTACAAGAGACTTCCCTGCGTTGCATTTGTATGAGAGCTGTTTGCCCCTTTACCAGGCTCTGATTACCTCTGTTGCTCCCCTGGATAATTTCGTGCCTCCCGTCTTTTTAAACCGACATCAATTAACGCCTCATCATTCCGTTCTGGAGTGTTTCCGCAGATGTTAAGCCCCCTCCCCTTGCAGTCTGGACACTCAGCCCTCTCCTGTCCACACACACACACACACGTTTAATTTCCAAAACAAGAGATGCTGGGAAGGATTGGGGGGGGGGGGGACAGTTCTGTCGGGAAGTCACATGTCATCTGATCTCCAAGCCTTGTTTGCTGTGAGAAAAACGACTGCAGCTGTTTAGGTGCTGAGAGACAGGATCCTCTGCTTTCTGCAGAAACTCTCCCAGGCCCTCTTAAACTTTCCTGCAGGTAGGTTTTAGGGCCAAGCTGTGGCTCAGATTTAAAAAGCAACAAACCTGGGGACGGGGGAATGAAGAAGGAGCCCATTTGGCACCTTAGAGGTCAGCACCATTTATTCCATGGTCATAGATCCATTTATTCCAGTGTCGGCTTATGTGAGTCAGAGCTCAGAGGATATGTCTTTTCAGGGGGGCATTTCTTCCGTTTTGTGATGTGTAGTGGTTCAGTCCCCCAGGATAATCAGAGTTGGATCCTTGCGCCCTAGAGATGAGAAGAAAAAGAGCAGGCAGGATTACAGATGTCAGTCTTTGTCTGGGAGAGAGTTGAAGAAGGAAGAGAGTTCACAGGAGTCATAGGTGCAGGAGAAGTACACCTGTGCTCCTCTGGCACAAAAGGAAATGGGGGGCTATCACCTAGTCAGTCAAGTCAGGGTTTTCCCCTACCCTGTAGACTAAGCAGGGACGGTTGCATCTCTGTTATGAAGTAAGTTTTGAGGGCTGAAAGCATTCTGCTGCACACCTGATTTCTTTTGAGGTTGTGTGTAAGACCACCTGACATCACAAAACAACAAGGGGTGCTTTGTGTGAGTTTTGGAAGCTGGTACCTGTCACAGGTTTTGGTTCATTCAACATGGAGTTTTGATTCAAAACTCTGGTTCAGGCTTGTGTGGCCTGCTTTGGGGTGCTTTCTCAGAGACTCAAACTGCCTTGCTGGGAAAGTGTTAGAGGAAATCCTCTAGGGGGTTCTTGGACACCATTGTATACAGAGATTAAAACCAGAACAGACACTCTTTATTCCCCATAAAGAGACAACACAGCTGGATGTTTAAAGAATAAATGTTGTCTTTACTGAATAATATTGGAATTCACAAGCATACAAAAACAGATTCGTTCACACACACTCACAAGTTCCTTTAGGTACAATAGAAATGGAAAGCAATCAGTATGAAAAATAATAAAGGTTGACTAACTGGGTGGTGACACACAAAAGGTTGACGAATATACTTATCTGATCCAGAAGAGAGTTTGATCTTCTCAATAAAGAATGCGGGAACAAAAGATCTCACCAGAGGGACTCTACTTTCACAAGGGCTTGAACCAGCCAACACGTGTGGGCTTCTTGGCTGCAGTCCAAGAGAGCCCCCAGCAGGGGTTTTGTTGCCGGGGGGGGGGGGGGGATGGCTGGCTAGCTTGCTTGCTAGCTGGCAGAGTACCTATCTAGAGGGAGTGGGGCAATATTCAAATCTAAGCCTATACCTCAATGGAACCATTTGGTCAAGGTGTCAAAGTTGTATCACCATGGAAACCTTTGTAGTGTTGATGCGCTGGCTTGGTCCAAGCAGTAAACAGGAAGAAGTCACTTTCAGATGCAAACCAGATACAGTGTTACGTGTTATCCAGAAATCCATCCATGGTGGTAAAGCTGTTGTTTGTAAGAGTCCTTTGGCTGAACATAATGGAGAATGCCTTCTTGTTCCCAAGGAAGGATGGATAGGTGTGTGTGTGTGTTCTCATTAGCATATTGGTGCAGGCAGCACATTGGCACAGCAGCTTCTAAATGCAGGCAGGCCAAACAAGCAAATCACACAGCATTCCAAAACCCATACACACAAATGCAGGTACATTCCATACACATAAGCATCAGCACAATACAAATAAAATGCAATGACAATCACATCTCCTAACAAAAGAACGCGCTGACCTTGGAATGGGGAGATAAGACAGCTGTGCTAGAGAGTCACCTCCTGGTACTGTCTCCCAATTAACATTCTATCCAGTAAAGCACCTGTGGGAAACCAGTGGGGGCTGGCTGCAGACAGACCCATCTCCTTTCTCATGTGGTGAGATGAACTATTAGATCATCTGGTCAGCAATTAGCTCATTCATCTGGCTATAGGTAATTGCAGAGGGCCCTGATTGGTGCAAAGGCCTAGCAACAGTTAGGACCCTTAGCAATGAAGGCATCATCTTCAAGCCTACTCTTCAGCTGGTTGGTGCCTGTTATCAAGACATGTTGGTGTGCTCTGGCTCTTTTTGGCCATCTTGGACTTATGCTTGCTGAAGTCAAACAACACTGGGCTTGTTGACTCTGGAGAGAGTTGCTTCGGAACCCCCCAGCTATGAATGGGTAATTTGTAACTTGTGAACCCATATCTTACAGTGTTTTAGTTAGCCTCTGAATTTCTAGTTTTCGTATTTTCTTCTCACCATAACTGTTCTTGTTTAAAGTATTATTTATTCCTTAATAAAAATATATATTTTAAATATCAATTCTGGTCATTTTTTTCACCGCCTGCCATTTCAATGTAGTACCTAGACTGGTAGACCACCTACCACAGTACTTAACTTTTGTGGGATTCCTGCTGTGAGTTTGCCTTGCCAGGGATGACTTCCTAGACATTCCCAGGAAACCTAGGAGTTGTCCTTTGGCTTCTGGCTAGACAGATAAATCAAAGGATTTGTGGCAGCCTACCAGACTGAGGTGCACCCCAATATTTAGTAATTTGTGTTTGCTGTCCTCTTAGCAAAAGACATTTAGCCTGGGTTGAGTTGGATGATCTTTCGACACCTTCATCCTCTCTTCAGCTGTCCTCTCTCTTTATGCCCCTTCTCCCTCTTGACTCTTCCAGTTCCCTTCTCCTTAGTTAACTCAGAATTTGGCCCCCAGTTGTCCCTGGCTGCCCCTCCTGCTATTGGTGCTCTCTGCCTTTTGTCTGGCTCCTTCTCTCTCTTTTTTAATATTTTTGTTATTAATTTATGCAAAAGAGGATATGGAAAATAAAAGGGAGGGGTTGTTAAAGTGATCATTGGTCAGCATAGGCGTTTACATTTGCCAGGAATACGTTTATAATGTCGGATACATAGCTCATGAGTATAATAGTCCAGATGTTTCCCATCTCCATTCAATTATATAAGTGTTCCATAATATCTATCTTAGATATATAGATATATAGATATATATTTATAATGTACTGTTTTTAGCAATTTAACACAGTCATTTTTACATACCATTTGCCTTTTTGTCTGGCTTTTTCTCTTAAAAACTTAGTTTAATTCTGTTGTTCTTCCACAGAAATCCTTCCTTGCCTTTTTCTCCCCAGTCCCTCCTGTGTGTTTAACCTCTTATTGTAAGCCTTTGGGCAGGGCCTGTGTCTATATGGAAAGCACCACATCATCTGGGCTGAAGGAATAATATTGGGAGGAGTGGGTCGGCTTGCTGTGTTCTTGCTGGGAAATCCTTCTTCTTGGGGAACCTTTTTGCTCCTTAAAGAGGCAATAATACGTGTTTTCATCTGTAGCATCTCAGAAGACGGCTTCCCTGAGGAATCCAGAAAACCTGCCTTGTTCCAGCCTTCCTCTTTTGGCCTACTCAATCAACCTTTTCTATATGTTGTGATTTATCAGAAAAGTTAGGGGAAACCGTTTCAGCATCTCATGACATGATCCTGGCAGCTCGGTGTGATTCTGAGCTCACCGTTGTGTAGTTATGCATGCTAAATGGTAGCCTGATTTTCTGTTTTCAGTTAAAAGTGTTGCACAGAATGTGGCTTCTAATCCATGCTAGCGAAAACCATTGTCAGCAGTATCTAGATGAATCATCATAGAGAAAAATGGTTCTGGCAGTTTGGGCTTTTAAACATCCTTTGTCCGTTTAATCCTTTTAACTGATAAACTGGAAAAACAACTGTAGACTTTGAAGCAGGTCCAATTTGAGTCACGGTGAAGTGTGAACACAAAAGCTGTGTGAAGGTCTAGCAGATTAGCAGATCTGCAGAAAGTTTTGATTAGATTCCGGTTTTCAAGTGCATGAGTGGTGGACTTTAATCTGGAGAACCGGGTTTGATTCCCCACTCCTCCACATGAAGCCAACTGGGCGACCTTGGGTCAGTCACAGCTCTCAGAGCTCTCTCAGCCCCACCTACCTCACAGGGTGTCTGTTGCGGGGAAAGGAAGGGAAGGAGATTATAAACTGCTCTGAGACTCCTTCGGGTAGTGAAGGGCAGGGTATAAAAACCAATTCTTCTATCCCTGTAACCAAAACTGAAAACGGAAATTCATTTTTTTTTGTTTTGTTTTGCATAGCTAGAGTTCTCACAACGTGCCAGCTTTGTCTCCAGAGATCCTCGCTTAAACATGACAGTTTGTGGCCTCGTCAAGACCTCTCAGGAGCCAGGTAAATCACCTGCATGTGGTTATTCAGCTCTGTATGTGTGTAACTGATATATTAAGCATGGAATGGTAACATTTTACTTGGCACTAAAAACTCAGATTAGTTGTAGAACTGATACTTTCCTAGTAACTTTTGGTACTAATCCAACTGGCCCTCTTAGCATGAAGAAAGCGGAGCTGACTTTGTTGGCTGTTTAGGAGTGGTTCCCCCACCATATGCTGCTTAGCGTTGAACTCTGGGCTCGGGGTCTCCTTCTGTGGCCCAAGCCAGGTCTTGAGTTGACATTGTTGACCTTCCTTGTTCACTGTTTCCTTGTGCCAGTGCCCTTGCAAAGCATCTCTGTGGATGTGGTGGTCCAAGGCTTCGTGGCTGATGTCGTGTCTGAGCTTCGGTACAAGAATGAGGAAAAGAACCCCGTGGAGGTGACCTTTGTTTTCCCTCTGGACGATGAAGCTGCCGTCTACGCTTTTGAGGGCCTGATTGGTGGGACACGGATTGAGGCTCAGATCCGAGAGAAGAAAGAGGTGAAGGGGCTGGGGAAAATATGGGGTGGGGGTCTTTGGGAGTGTGGGGTCTTAGTTTCAGAGATGAGCTGGAGAGATGAGCTGGATCAGTTCCCCAAACCAGACCTTGTGTCAACTGAAGGGGGAAATGGTGAAATGTGAATGAGCAATAGTGTAGCCATGTCTGTGAAGACCAAGTAAAGAACTGAGGGAGGTGTTTGACCTAGAGCTCGTCCAACTGTCGTCTGTGCTTTTAGGTGAAGTCTACAAAAGTCTTCATTCCTCACCTTACAGGGCAAACTAGCTTTTAACCTGTATCCTGTTTCCTTCTACTATAGTAGTCAGCAATTTGTGTCGCACATGTAGCATTGAGTAGATAAGGTAGTCGTATTCTTAAAAATATGTTAAGAAGAAAGTATAGATTGCTTTCTTATTGGCTACAAATGGTGCAGTTTGTTTTAGGGATGTGCACAAAAAATCAATATTTTTCAGGTTCGGGTATACTGAACCCGAAAAATATTGGTGTTTCCTGATATTGGGATTTTGAAAATAATTGGGACTGCCAATTTTTACGGTTTCATTGTACCCTGTGGGTACCATTATAATCAATGGGTCCCCATAGGCTATATTGAGAATCAATCCAGGGATATCTGGGGCTTGTGTGGGGGGGTATATTTTTAGGTTGAGGCACCAGATTTGCAGCATAGCTGCTGATGTTTCTCCAGGGGGTCCAATTCTATGAGGGATAATATTGCTGAAGATAATGTATCATCTATGAGAGATAATGTTACAAAAGAGAGATACCTATATCAAGATATAAAGTGATGGAGATGTATAGTAATTATTTTAGTATTGTTCAATTTAAACAATTCAAGGCAGAATGTTCGGTGAGATGTATCTAACATAAACAAGGGGGAAAATCGATATTGTATAGGCTTATGGACAGTGAAACTATGTAGAAACTTCATATAGTAGTATGAGAATCACTGCAAGAGAGAAGGTGGCTTATATTAAAACAGCAGAAAAATATAAAAAACAGGAGAATGCCAAAAGCAAGACCGAGGATACCTGAGGTATATATGTGTGCACGTATCAGTATGCTTAATAAGTTAAGGTAGGCATTCTGAAGGAAATTAAATTTATTGCTGAGGGGAAAATAAGCTGATCAGAAATCCAGAGAAGAGCAGAGGGCCAGACTTAACTGGCTGTCCTGGAGGACAGCTTAGGCCTCTACACTTATACAAAAACAAGAGCCCATCAAAACCCAATACCACATCATCAGTTTTGACCGATGTGTGTTGATCAGAATGCCTCAACTACTGCTCAGCAAAACATTTCAGGCATGAGAGCAGCATGGAACATCATCTTGTGCCAATCAGAGTTAATCCTCTTCCCCAGAGAGCATCCTTTTTCAAAGCATTTCCCATGGACCGCCTATTCACCAATATAATAGCGTGCCTTATTTTGGATCAGTGGCAGGCAACTTGCACCATGCCCCCCGTCACCCCTAATGCTCCCTCCTCTCCCAACACAGGCACAGCAGGAATACGAGGATGCCCTGAGCGAAGGACGGGAAGCCTTCCTGCTTGAGAGGGAGACAAACACCAGTGACATTTTCACCTGCAGCCTGGGAAACCTTCCGCCCAGTGAGGAGGCCACGCTGAAGCTGCGCTATGTCCAGGCGTTGGCTCCAGAACCCGATGGGGCCGTCCGCTTTGTCCTGCCTGCTGTGCTGAACCCACGCTACGAACCCCACGGTATAGATGAAGACGGATAGCCTGTTAGTTTGTCTGTAGCAGTAGTAAAGAGTAGGAGTCCAGTAGCACCTTAAAGACTAACACAATTTGTGGTAGGGTGTGAGCTTGTATGAGTCACTACCAGGGGTCATTTTGTAGAAAAAGAGGTGAAGGAGCTCATTAGCATGACTCATTAGCATAACTCATTTGCAAATGCCACACCCCCTGACATCACCGGAAGTGTGTCAGAAGGCAACACCCACCACTCAGGCTCCACTGGACTGTTTTGGATTGATAGTTATGGGGGGGATGTGCAGATCTGCCCTCACAGAGGAGGGAGAGCTTGTACCTGAATAAAACTTGGTCTTAAAGGTGCCACTGGACTGTTTTGGGCCGGGGGGGGGGGGGCTCTGCAACTTCCCTGGTTGCTTCTTGCTCTGACTGAGGGCTGCTGGGAGCAGGGGGTGGGGCTTGTTGCATGTGCCCGCCCCCTGGGCTCTTTACTGCCAGAGCTCCGCTCCTGTGCGTTCCCGCAGGAAATGACCCCTGGTCACTACTCACTTTTTCCAATACCAGAACCCCACGGTATGTGTGTGCCCTTCAAAAAAAAACCCCATTTAATTCCATGTCAGAAAGTTAGAAAGGGCATGGTTAACATTTTACTAAACATCAGAAGGTTGCTAAATCAAGAAAGTCACAGGAGGGAAACCCACTCCTCCATCCCAAGTAAAGACACCCCCCCCCCAAGTTTCAAGAGAACTGAAGAAAGGGGTCGGATTTTGTGGACTTCTGGCCATGGTGTACCCAGCCATCCTTCTCTGCATTGTTCTCTTTGGCAGAGGAATGGCAAGTTTATGGATGGCTTTAAAATAAAGGGAAATGTGTTATAGCGACTACTGGTAATCAAAACAGATCAAGAAGAGGAGATTGGATTTATACCCCGCCCTTCACAACCCAAAGGTGTCTCAGAGCAGCTTACAAACTCCTTTCCCTTCCCCGCCCCACAACAGACACCCTGTGAGGTAGGTGGGGCTGAGAGAGCTCTGACAGAAACTGTTCTTTTTTCAAGAACAGCTCTTATCAGAACCATGGCTTGCCCAAGGTCATCCAGCCCAGGGGCAAGTGGAGGAGTGGGGAATCAAACCCGGTTCTCCCAGATTAGAGTCCGCTCACTTAACCACTACATCAGACCAGTCTGTAGTCCAGGTGAAGGTCCACCGTAGAAATCCAAGGTCAAGGGCCTTCAAAATGAATCCAGGATCTTCCCCCAGAAAGCCAGCAGCACCAAGGAGCAGTGGGAGAGAAGTGGCTGCCCGGGCTTTTGGCTGCAGTTGAAATTTCTCTCCCCTCAACAACTCTTCCTCCTCCCAAGGGTAAAGGAGGCCTGCCTGACGGGCCAAGGGCAGCTCTTCTGATCCCTCCACGTTTAAACAGAAATAATTCAGAAATACTTTCTCAAGTGGTAGATGCCGTTCTGCACCTGTGGCAAGTGCTGAGTAGGCTGAGAGAGAGACCTCATTTAGAATCATCCATTCCTCATGGTATCTGTTTCCATTTGAATGTGCCTTTACCTACAATAACCCCATCTCTCTTCCCTCTGATACCAGAAATGCATAGTGTGCACTGCTGGTGAACTAAGGCAGGTTTTCCCCAACCTGACCTATAACGGTGGCCTTGCCTCTGTCTCTCTGTAGGGTCAGACAAGAACACAGTCACCAAGAGCATACCACGAGTGCCCCAGGGAAAGCTTCCCTATACGCTGGGCCTCTGCGCCACACTGGAGTCCTCCCATGGCATCAACCGGGTAGAATCAAAATGCACCTTGGAGCCCCTTCGCTACACAGTGGAAGACCACACTGCTGCCAAGGTGAGGCTACTGAGGATCTTTATAATTTATGCTAGTGGTTGTTTCTGGAGGAGGGTTATTTCCCCCCCCCCAAAAAAAAAATAATAATCATGTAAGCCGTGCCTGAAATTGTTACTGTTTCTCCTTAAAACATACATTTCAACTCCACACTTTGACAGGCACATGCCACAACAGCTGTAGTCTAGTTTCAGGTACTACAAGAGGATGCTTAATGATTAGCTGTTAATATATATATATATATAGGCTTACATAACCAAAAGTCTTAAGCACACATACACACATTTATGCAATAAAAATAACCAGTAAAACATCAACACTATTTAAAAAGCTCATACGTGAACAGTAGGGTGCGTTATCCCAATATGAGTGTGTTACACTGTCTAGAATCGTCAGACCACATAAAATAATGCTTCCAACTGGAACCCGCTACATCAAGTCAGAACAGTTTGAGCTTTCCCCTCCTTGTTCCTTTTTTTTTTTTTGCCACCAGGGCCAAAAACGTGGCCACTGCTTTGGTGACGTGAGTCAGCTCTGTCAGATAAAAGAGGAGAAATTGACCAGGGAAGGGAGGGGAGATTTTCTTTTATCAAGATAGGTATAATATACTTCTGCCTCTCCATCTTCCAGTTGGGGCAAGCTAGCACTATATGATCCATCGTCTCCACCCTACCTAGGCTACAGTCGCACAGCCGTTCAGAGAACGAGATGCCCTGAAAGCGGCCCAAGACTACATTCGACGGAAACGTATTCAGTCTAGGCTCTGCGAAGTATTAGCTGTTAATCATAACAAGGTTCAAGGTTTTTTCCATGTTGACAGTAGGAACAATTGAGTTTGCCAACAACTGTGTACCCCTCTGCGGTGGCCTGAATATAATCCTGCACTGTATCATGATTAGATAGAAAGTGAATGTCCAGAGGAATACTTCCCATAAATGCACACCTTTTTAGCATTTCAGCATGATGATGCCACAGTGCACCCAAAATGCATGGAGCTCAGGGGCCAGTATATACTCCGGCAAGGAACATTATAGCACAGCTGAATGGCATCACACAAACATTGACAGAAGATTGTGACTGAGTGGGGAATGAGGGGATTGATCACCACTCACCGAATCTCCATAGTTCTCCCTTGCATAAATAGAAAAGCATTTTAAAGTGACATTTCCAAGCCCCTTTTCCCATGGCCACTGCTTAATTAAAGAGCATGGGAGAGAACCTGATGGTCAAGCATGCAGGAGAAACCACTGGAACACTTTATACTACACACATTTTCCTAAATCTAATATATGTCAATAAGCTCTGTGTGTGGGTGTTGCGGGGCTCTCTGGTCCATTTGTTAGACATCTCTGATATCAGAGTAAGCAGTATCTATTCTCCGGTTATTCCACCCCCCATCTTTCTGCACGAGTTTCTAATCTGGGCATGCCTTCTCACCAAAAGGACAGGAGCCAACAACAGGGCTCATGCAGATGGTTTTCGTGTGTGTTTTTACCAAGGCTGATGATGCCACAAAAAACAGATCACGAAACCACGGGGAAAATCGGGTGAGGCTGCGGGTCAAAATGCGCACGCACGGCTTCAAGTGGGAAATTGACCAATGGAAACGGGGCAAAGGGAGGCGAGACCGCAGCACAGCTCCTTGTGCGAAATCAGCCCAAGTGTCATTCAGTGACCAAGTTCTGCCCAGTCCAGAGAAAGAGAGTTGAATTAGTGAAGGCTGCCTACAAAAGCACAATGCCAGACCAGGGACTCATGCAGAGGCATAGTGAGCAGCCTTCTCTGAGGTAGTATGTTTGGGGTTCATAGGAGCTTCAAAATGTAATTGATGTTTTTCTTACTGTACACTAGCAGTTCTAGCTGGGCAAAGATTATGGGAATATTCCAGGTTGACCATATGGTGAAATTTTTTAAATTTACATACAAAGGTAGATGATGGGGTTCTTGTGGAAGCCGGCATCTTTCCCAGCCTCTAATGCATCATTCTGTTTCTTGTTTTAATCTCTCCAAAAGGTCTCCTTGGCTGAAGGGCACCAATTTGACCGAGATGTGGAGCTGCTGATTTATTATGAGGAAGTTCACAAGCCCAGCGCAATCCTCGAGGCTGGGAAGCCAGGAGCTGCGTCAGGTGGGCAAGCCATGGATGCGGGCTGAAGTTCAAGGGATTCTGGGAGATTCATTTGGCCTGTGTGTGGATGGCTGGCACAGTACTTGGTGAGGAGTGTGGGTACTTACTTGGGTGGAAATGCCTATTGAATCTCCTTTCTTCCTGTATAAATCAGGTTCCCTGATGGGGGACCCAGCCCTTCTGGTTACCCTGTACCCCAGCTTGCAGTGTGCCCCCAAGCCAGGCCTGAGTGCCACTGGGGAATTCCTCTTCCTGCTGGATCGCTCTGGCAGCATGGATTGCAGCTCTGATTACAACATCCCTGATGCACCACAACGTATTCAGAGCGCCAAGGTACATATGAACAAATTAAATGCTGCAGGTTCTGAAAAGATAGGTGATGTGGAGGCTGAGAAAAGGAGACAAAGTAGGGAACAAAATAGGAAACAGTCTGTGGAAACATGGAGGATATGCGGTGAGGTGGAAGCAAACTGAGAAAAATATTGGAAATTGGCTGTCTGGGGGGGGGGGGGAAGCGAAGTAAGCAAGGAGCCAGGAAGGGCTCTGGAAGCATGGAGATGATGCTGAACCAAATTCAGAAGGGACACTTGTGACTCTAGCTTTTCTCTCCCTCTCCCTCAGGAGACCCTGATTCTCCTCCTGAAGAGCCTCCCTCTGGGATGTTTCTTCAACATCTATGGCTTCGGATCCACCTACGACTCGTTTTACCCGTGAGTGTCAGAATGTTGCATGCCTGCCAGCCCCTTTGATTTCCTGTTCTTCCTCTTTCTCCTAATTCCGTCTTGGCTTTCTGAATCGAAGGGAAAGGAAGAAGAAAGGAGGTACTGGTTCACTGCTAGTCTTGATCTACGAAGGTCAACACAAAACACAGTAGTAGAGCCCCTCCATTCCAGTGCAGTCCTTGCTTTGGGGGGCTCTGCTGTTCAAGCGTTGGTGTGTTTCTAGGTGGCACAGAAATGTTTTTAAAAAGTAAAATTATAAATAATTGTTTTGACAAAGGAAAGGTTAAAAACCACAAAATAAAGTACACCGAAGGTGTTAGAAAAAGAGAGGTAAATCTGTTGGGGCTTTGCACAAACCACAACTTTAAAAAATCTTCTCCTCACACCTGCTTCTTTTTGGAAAGCACATCTTAGACTATAGAGTCTTTGCTTGTGCTGCTACCATTCATCTTCCTTTTCTCATTTTTGTATTTCTAACCTGTTAGATCGCCGCTAACAAAGATCCGCGAGTGATTTCAGCAAAGTGATTCAGCTTTATTGAAGTAACGAACAAGCACTTAAACGCATTCATAACCAGAACAGATTAACATTGGGAGCTAGGCTCCTTTTATACATTCCCGGGCTAACATAGCCACGCCTATTTACAGATAACAACCAATAAGATTATGTAGTTAAAGACCTATGAGAGTCTTTCCCTCTCTGGAACTTGTATCGTTCCGATTGGTCGCTTGTTAGAGGGCGACCAATGATAATGCAGTTCAGAGGAGCCTTCATCCGGCTCAAGCTTTACATGGGGAGTGAATGAGGCGATTCATGTGAGCGATTTCCAATACATTACGTAACCCAATGGTTTCCTTGTTCTTTGCTGTTCAGCGGTGTCCTTTCTCTGTTCTGTATAGTTAATACCGCTTTATTGGCAGTAAGTTGTCACTAATGGCTTGAATTTGAGTGAGAGAGGGTTGCTGCTAGACTAGCGTGCTGGAGAATAAGAGGACAGAACAAATCTGGAGTCCAGTGGCACCTTTAAGACAAACAAAGCTTTGTTCAAGCTATGAGCTTTCATGTGCATGCAGTTTTTCAGATACAATGAAATGGGAGGTAAGGTTCAAACTTCTAGACATATGTAAAGGCAACTGAGTAACAAGCTAAGGTTAAACGGTCAACAGTTGTAAATCAATAAATATGTCAAAATATTACAAAGGAATTTCAGGAACTGAATAGAAAGAGAAATTGCTGAATTACAAGTGATTACAATACTTGGAACAAAAAGCTCCCCGGGATTCAACAGGGATATTGGTTTCTTATTACATATGCTAACTCATTCAGTCCTCCTATATGTATTCTCATACAGAGTATACATCCTCTGTATTTTAGTGTATTTCTTTTTCTGAATAGAATATTAGAATACTGAATTGTAATACAAGGAATATTTGGCTGACATACACTGTATCTACCTCAAAAAAGAAAAAAATGCTGTTAAGTGACCTCCACACCTAAGAGGAGTGAATGAAGAGTCTCAGACTTATTTTGACATATTTAGTGCTTTACAACTGTTGACCTTATAACGTTAGCTTGTTATTTAGTTGCCTTCACATATCTTAAAACCTCTTCATCATGTTACATGTTAATCTGCTGTTCAGCCCTGTCACAACCCCCCACCTCTTGCCAAGGGGTCTGCCTCTTAAGCCTTGGGTTGTTCAATCAGTTGGTGGTGGAAAAGTCCTTGGTAGTGCCTTAAATTCATTCTGGTAGCGTGGGTGTGGGTTCTCAGGGTTTAGTAACTTTTAAAAACAATGTTGAATTTATTTACAAAAGTACCACAACAATAAAAAATACAAGTAGGGGGAAAGGGTGTGTACCTAGAACAAAGACAACAAACCAAACCTAGCTCGCTATCTGGTGCATTGACCCTGAGCAGCTTGTTTCCAGCAGCAGATGCCAAAGCAGAGTTCGCCAAGGAGTAACAATTCCTTCTCCAGGCCACCGGCTCTTGAACTGAAGCCTCCTTTCGTCACATCCTGATGTCTTGCCTGTGAGGGTTTGTGTATCTCTCTTGCAAGGTCCTGGGATCCTGGTCCTTTCCAATCAGATGCTCAGCTATCCCCAACTCCTGGCTAAATACCTATCCAGCTGTCATGAGCCAGTTGACAGACCAATGAGGATCGAGATCACTCTCATCTAGATTGAGAACTGTCAAGTTCTAGGAAGTCATGCTGGTGTTTTGACAGCTTCCAGCTGGCTGCTGTTAAGCCAGTCGGTAATTTGTAGCTTGTTAACTGATAATACTGTAGGTCTTACATGATCCAGTCAAAAGTTAACAACTTACTGACGCATGCAAAAATGTAGGCCTTAAAGACCCAGTTACATGACAAGCCTGTCTATAAGTTTGAACCTTTCCTCCCATTCCATTGTATTTGGAAAAGTGTGCATGCACACAAAAGCTCATACCTTGAATAAACCTTTGTTGGTCTTAAAGGTGCCACTGCACTCTAAATTTGTTCTACTACTTCAGAACAACACGGCTGACCAATTGGATCTATCTTAACAAAAGGATAGTTTGGGTCAGTTTGTAGATGCTTTGGGCAGTGCAGGGAACACGATTATTAAAAATCTTCAGAAATTGGTCCTCCACATCCTTGTCTTTCTGGAATTGTCTTAAACCCTCTTCAGGCAGAGCGTAGAGTACACCCAACAGACCATGTCAGAATCCCTCCAGCGTGTTAAGGACCTCGGTGCTGACTTGGGGGGCACAGAAATTCTGCAACCACTGAAGGCCATTTACAGCCAGCCATGCCGAGAAGGACATCCTCGTCAGGTACGGAGAACTCCACCGGGAGCCAATTTCCCTTTTTACAGTAGGTGTGATAGTTTTGCTGTGTGTTTATTTGCTTATGCTGTCAAGTTGCAGCTGACCTATTGGCACCCCTTAGGGTTTTCAAGGCACGAGGTGTTCAGAGGTGGTTTGCCATTGCCTGCCTCTTTGCAGGGACCTGGTATTTGTTGGTGGTCTCCCATTGAAATACTGACCAGGCCTGACCCTGCTTAGCTTCTGAGATTTGACAAGATCAGGCTAACCTGGGGAATCCATGTCAGGACCAATGTTCCCTCTAAGCTGAGTTAGTGTGAGTTAGCTCACATTTTTCTCGCCTCCAGCTCACACATTTTTGTCTCAGCTCAGGAAGGAGGGCTCCAGAGCAAACTAATTGATGCAGTAGCCAAATCGCTGGCTCACAACTTTAATCCCAGGAGCTCACAAAGCAGAATTTTTCCTCACAAGACTCCACAGCTTAGAGGGAACATTGGTCAGGACAGAGACAGGATCCCAATTACCCTTATTATTTAGGTTTGTCGTTACCCGCATTTAAGCGAGCAATCCAACAGCTATGAGTGTCTTGACACCTCCTCAAACTGCCTTTAGAATCAGAAGCTTTTCTGCTGTGGAGTCAGAACCCTCTCTGATGTGGTGCTGCTAATGCTCCTTCCAAGGGATGGGTTATTGGTGCCGCGTTGCCAAAACACAACTTTTTTAAAAAAATCCAGAGGCAACTTCTTTAGTTTTTTTTTTTGCATACTCCAGTTCGAAAAGCATTGCAATAACAGACAACTTCAGGCACTAGAATCACTCAACTAGACACAGAGAAGATGAATAAAACCTCCTCTGTGCTAATGGGTCTCCACAGATGTTTAGACTCAAATCCCACATTCTTCTTTTTGTCTTTCAGCTGTTTGTGTTCACAGATGGAGAGGTATCTAACACCGATCAAGTCATTGCAGAAGTTCAGCGTCACAGCACTTCCCACAGGTTGTAGCAAGGAACAAGAAATCAAACGCTCTTTTCTCTCTGTATCCTTCTTTGTATCGCCTTCTCTGCCCTAGTGCCGTCTCTCCTCCCCTAACAAATTTCTCATATAATAGTAAGTCGGATGTTACCCAAATCATGTTCCTTCTGTGATCAAATTAACAGAAATAAAACAAGGTATATTTCTTTGTCACATAACCCTCAAGAAACTATTAATAACAGTTGGGTATATTTGGGGATCTTCAGTTTTGTGTGTCTGTTTTGGTATTTCATGGTCTACTTTCAATGCTGCTGGCAGTGAAAGAGGCAACATGTGGGGAGTAGATGGTTTATATGGCAGGGGCATCTCCAACCAGAAGATTTAGGATAAATTCCCAGGGAAAAGGATTGCCTTGCTTGGCAAAAACACTGTGCCCCAAAACACCAGTCATTGTACTATCTGCCTGGTTTGGGAAATAGCTTGACTTCCCAAGGAAGTGGGGTGTTATGGGCAGTGTTCCTCCTAAGCTGAGTTAGTTTGAGCTAGTTCACAGTTTATTAGCCTGCAGCTCACAGATTTTTGTCTGAGCTCAGGAAGGATGGGGCTCCAGAGCAAACTAATTTATGCAGGAGCCAAATTGCTTCCTCATAACTTTAAGGTCAGGAGCTCACAAAGTAGAATTTTTGCTCACAAGACTCCACAGCTTAGAAGGAACATTGGTTATGGGGTTTTATAAAAGAGGAGGTTCTCAAGCTGGGATGCAGAAATGGGAGGATCAAGTTTCAGGCAGAAGGTGAACCTATGTCTTCCATTCAAAACTGGAAACACATCTGCAGGGACATATGCCAGTGTTTTGCCTTTCCCTGCTATTTGCAAGCTGACACCTTGACTGAAGACAAGGTAGCAGCTTTGTCCTGTCCCCTGAAAGACAAGCAGACAGTACTAATACTGTACACTGAAGGCCAAACTAGACATGAGAAAGTATCTTCAATTTTATTTAAAAGCATCATGAGGAATTTGTACTGGGTTCATGTCCTGGCAGTGAGGCTCACAAGGAGAAAGCTCAAAATTCCGTGGCATGATCCCCGTATGGGAAGTCCACCCATTTATGTGTAAAATGGAGGTCATATTCAAAAAACAAAGTGGAATGTGACTGGGAGGAGAAAGAGAACCTGAACATTCCCACGCCTTAGCTTAATACATTGTGTAGTGTTTGAAGCACTTTTCTGCTCACTGAACTCTGAAATACTGGCGTTTGAGACAGAGCTGAAATGGACCAGGGCCTTAATTTAAAGTTAGGAGGCAGGTTGAATTCCCCTCAGCCTCCCTCACTGCACTTTTGTTTGCAACAGATGACACACTTCACCGCTTGGTTGAGGACTGCAGGAGAGGAAGAAGAAACACCTAAGCCAGTGTGCTTATGCCTCTCTGTGCATACTCTGGAAAGAAGAACCTTAGATGCCCACAAAATGGGGGTTCTTTGTCTTATTTGTCTGCTGTTTGGCAGGGAGGATTCCCTCCCAAAAACTTTAATCCCTGAGTATTTTGTCCAACTTTGGAGAGGGGGAAATATGTGGAACTATTTTTCCCGTCAAAACCAGTGGAAATGTAAATCAGAATGAATAACTTATGCTGTTGCAATACCCAACAATGGGGGGATATTAAAAAGAGAAGCATTCAAAATAAGAAAGCTGTATGCAGCGGCAAAAGAAAATCTGAAAACAAAAGCGAAAACCACATCATGCCATTTATTAGATGAAACCAAAATCACAGAGAACTGTGTGCAAGCTTTTGAGGTCTGATGTAGAGAAAATGTTAAAAATATTTTTTTAAAAAAATATCCTCCTATTCAGTGTTGTTAAAAAAAATTTTTTAATATCCTCCCATTCAGTGTTCCCTCTAAGCAGAGTTAGTGTGAGCTAGCTCACAGCCTCCAGCTCACACATTTTTGGCTCTGCTCAGGAAGGATGGCTCTGGAGCAAACTAATTTATGCAGTAGCCAAATCACTCATTCACAACTTTAATGCCAGTAGCTCACAGTAGAATTTTTGCTCCCAGGACTTCCACGGCTTAGAGAGAACCATTGCCCCTGATTTCTTTTTCTGTCTTTCAGCCTGATGAGTTCTGGAGATCTTATAAGCTTGCACACTGTTCTATGGGACTGTAAGGCAACCAAATAAAATGTATTACATTGTCTTTGGATACAACATTTTTTAATCCCCCGTTTTTGTTTTGCTTTACTTTTTGCACCTTTCCTTCCAGGTGCTTCTCCTTCGGCATTGGCGAAGGGGCCTCCACAGCACTCATCAAAGGCATTGCACGAGCGGCCGGAGGCAGTGCCGAATTCATCACGGGCAAGGAGCGCATGCAGGCCAAGGTGAGGAGGATCCAGGAGCCTAGATTTGGAAAAGAGGGCTGTACCATTTCTACACCTAAAGCTTGCGAATTTAGTGTTCATTACCTGCTAGGTGCTTAACTGCCAATCTCTGAAACATCGCAGGATCAAATAAAGAGGATGTCTTATTCAGCAGTTGTTCTGGCTTCAGAAAGCATATGCAATAGAGTTTTTTATCTTTCTTATTTGGCCCAGGAACTCTGCTGTCTACCTTACACCTGTTTTTGCCTGTCTTGCTCCTTCAGGCCCTGCAGTCTTTGAAGAAGGCCCTGCAGCCAGCAGCGACAGGGATCTCTCTGCGTTGGGATTTGCCTTCCGGTCTTGAGGCCGTGCTTGTGGGGTCTGGTCCCCAGGTCATCTTCGAAGGGCAGCGCAGCCTCATCTACGCCCAGATCCGGGGACAGCATCAGGCAAGCAACCTCCACCAAGACTCCAAAGATTGTCTGTCCATCCCTATGCATGTCTTGTGGCCAAGCGAGCCCTAGGACCTGTTGCGGCCTTAATTCTTTTGCCATCTTTATGACGACGTTTGCAGTAAAGAAGTGCTACGCACACTGCTGCTGTGCAGAGCTGTATACAGTTTATTTACACTATATACACAGTCCAACAAGGCTTGGCATTCGGCTCACGCTCCGACAAAATAGCCAATCACTGAGCAGATGCTGAGTCATAGTGGGTGCATTCAGATGGGCCGTTTCAGCCGGCATAAACTGTACCGGTTGGAACCGTTGCAGTTTATGCCGGCTGAAACGCGATCACACTTACCTCCTGTCTGCGGAGCCCATCACTGTATGCCAGTTCACACACAGCGGGCGTCGGCAGTTTGTTTTTGTTTTTTAAACTCAGTTTGCGCATGCGCATAGGCAGCCATCCACAGAATGGCGATCTTCACACATGTGCAAAACACCCCATCCAGAAAAGCATACCCTAAAGAGAGGACTTACCTTTAAAGTTTAAAGAGCAAACTTGCCTCCCTGAGGTCCCGGACTCCTCTAAAACGTTAAACTAAGGACCTTTTCTTTTCTTTTTTAAACAAACGCCGGGGCGAAGCTTTGCCCAAGCACATATCGCGACCTAAAAAAAAAAAAGGCAGGCGAAAATCGGAAGCCTCAGGCTTCCGAATGAAAGTGGCTCTACAACGGTGGAGAGCAATCAGACGGGGGAGTAAAACAATTACAACCGGTGCACTCAGGATACCAGTTCCATAACTGGTGGCAGAATACACCGGTTTAAAGCTCTTTGCAATGGTTAGGGACGGAAGGCAGATGTTTGCTGTGTGAACGCCGGTAAGTACACAGATTCCAACCGGCACCTATACCGTTGTAAACGCCCCGTCTGCACGCACCCAGTGACTCCCTCAGCAGGCTGGTGCAACCAGTACATCATGTGATCATGCAACTGTCAGATTAGATCATCCTGATCTCTTTGACTAGCTGTCACATTGCTTGGCACTCAAATCTGCAGATGCCGACACTTTATTCCCAGAATGTGTAACTCCTCTCCTTCTGCTCTGCCAATGTCTTTTCCTCTGCAGTCCTCGGTTGCCTCTGGGGGGTCTGTTGTGCTGCAGTACAACTTCCAAGGCCAGACTTTCACAGATACGGTGGAGTTCCCCCTCCAAGCTGAGGAGCGTGACAGGTAAGACACGCTCCTGTGTATGTCCCCTCTCATTGGCCAGTGTGATGGAATTTAGTTGGGAAGAGAGATGTGAAGGCTTGGGGGGGGCATAATTGAGGGTGGAAAGTGTTCTATCCCCCCCCCCCCCGATTTTTTAATCTATTTATTAGTTTTGAGTTTCGGTTTCCGTTCAGCACTAGTTTGTCTGATGGGTAAATTAACAATTTTAGGGGAGCACTGGAAACAAAAACCTCCTCTGAAATATTTTCTCTTTTCTAATGAGTGTGATGCTTTCCAAGCACTCCATTGTGAGTTGAGAAACTACATTTGATGTTGTTGTCAAGCTCCTCCTGGCCTAAATGTATCCAGAATGCTAACATCCCAAATTGTGGCCTGAACCAGTCTCCACGTAATGCTTTCATTTATGCATAAAGCTGAGTTTTGTACCAGGGCACTGCCGTTCAGTGACCTTTGAGGCTGAGAGAACAGGCCCAGGGTGTGTGCCAGGTCTCATTCTGGCCGTATTTGGGGTGACTTCCCCCAACTGGTAGTGTGCAGCAGTTGCCCTAGAGACCACCAAGTGGTGTATGCTAAATCCAGGTTTAAGGCAGAGTGCAGAATGCTCCATGTGGAACAGACACCACTAGCAATCTTGGCTACTGAGTCTCTGTTCGAACCGGCCAGGCATGGCTGTTGGCTTCCGTTCACTTGCCACTGCCAGTCCGGTCTCAACAACCTGCTTGCAGGTTGGATTTTAACAAGCATGGTCAGGAAACGCTTCTGTAGTTGAGGGGATTCCATTCTCCTCAGGCATGGACTTCATATACCCTGTGACCCTGTGGACTTCATATACCCTGTGACCAACACTCCATTTCTCTTCCGCTCTCTCTCTCTCCAGGCTCCCGGTTCATCGACTGGCGGCTCGAGCCCTGTTGCAGGATCTGGAGGGCGCTGGAGAGAAGGAGGAAGAAAAGCAGCGCCTGGCTCTGCAGACGAGCTTGAGCTCTGGGGTGGTGTGTTCCCAGACGGCCTACATCGGGGTGAACACAGAGAAGGGCCAGCCAGTGCAAGGCCCCCTTATCCACCGAGATGTCCCCCTTTCACGTGAGTTAAAGAAGAGCTCATGAACTGAATGCAGCTTATTTGGAACTGACCAGGCAGAGGTTCTCTGAGTCTGTAGAAAGGCAGACCAGGGGCTTCGGATTTCTCCTGTCTTGGGTGGGGTTACAGTGCCACTGAAAAACCTGGTTTGCAGCTTGGGAATGCAGTTTGACACAGCAGCCCCTTTAGAAAACCAGCTTTGCCTGGAGCATCAATGACTCTTTTCCACATTTAGTCAGATCTAGCCATGTTGATCCATACCTTTGTTCAGGCCTGTAGCTACCGTGGGGCCCACGCCCCCCGGTGGTTTTTATGGGTCCCTCCCTGATCCTCGGCTCCCCCTCCCTCCCCCCAGTCCCCTCACCCCCAATTGATCGCTGCACAGTCAGGAGAAGAGCAGAAGACAGCTAGGCGTTGGCAGACTCCCTCCCCGCTAAACCGGTGGGGCTTCACCTGGGCCGGCGTGTGCTTAGGGATGGTCCCTCAAGTTGGAGCAGGCAGGAGGGGAGCCTTTGGGAACAGTCGTCCCTGCCTGTTTGGGCGACTCGGTGCATCTTTGGACACGGGACAAACTGTTCGGATCCTGAGGTCTCTGGAACACCTTTACTCCTCAGGGAGCACCCGAATGACCCTGGCAGCTCGTCCAGCATCCCTCAGACTCTGCACACTTCGATCACGTCAAAGTGGGTATAATTTGAGCATCTTTGGGTCTGCATTTGTCGGACTGCGGGCAGCTTCCTTGGGAGGCGGCCTCACAGAACTCCACGGAAGATTGACTGACTTTCTGAGTAAACGATGCCGGCTCAGAGTGCAGACAGCCAAGGCAGGGTGTCCTTTCCAAGCACCCACAGGGAGCAATCGAGATCTAAACTGAGTCTCCATAAAAAAAGGCCCCTTCGGATTCGAGGAGAGAGGGTGGCACGAGCTTCCTTCTTTGCCAGGAACCAGCCCTTTAAAGGCTTGGGCTCGTGACCCAGTTCTGATTAAATTTGGGACACCGAGAAAGCCGGCATGGTGCCCGGGAAGGAATCCAGCCTGCAGGGCTGTGGGAAAGGGATGGCCGGTTTGCGAGCAGCTCAGCCAGCCCCTCCGCGGCCCTTCGCTTGCCCCCTCCTGTAGCCACTGCCCGGATCCCCCCCCCCCCCTCATGCCAGAAGCAGCACGGGAGGAGGGAGAAAGGGAAGGGGACATTTGAAGTGCCCCGCCACCCGCCCCATTCAGTCCTTTGGTGCTGGCGAGTCTTTTGCCCACAGAAGCATGCAGCCCGAGGCGGGCAGCCCTGATCCCATTAAGGTATGAACGGACTGTCACCTTCAGCTGTTCTCGCCGTCCCCCACACACACCTGCTGACTTTTTCACTTGAGATCACAAAGCTTTTTTCCTTCCAAAAATCTTATTAACCAGCTTTATTTCTCCCGCTGGCAGGCCCCCAAGAAAAACATTGGCTCCCTGAGAAAAAAGTTGTTAGCTACGGGGCTGCCTTTGTTACATCTAGACTGGGCTAATGCAATGTGCTCTACTTGGGGCTTCCCTTGAAGAGTGTTCAGAAGCTGCAGCTATTGCAGAATGCTGTGGCTAGACTGCTGATTGGGGCCATTTACTGGAAGCGCATGTCCCAGGTCTGACAGCAGTTACAGTGGTTACGGATCCACTCCAGAGCTCAATTCAAAGTGGTGGTTTTGATCTTTCAAACACGGCTTGGGACCAGGTTATCTGAAAGGCTGTCTTCTTATGTTCCTGTCTCCTGGCTTTCCCACCCATCAAAGAAGCTCACCTGTTAGACACGCAGAAGAGGGCCTTTTTGGTGGCAGCCCCACAATTACAAGGGAGCTTCGGTGGCTCAAGTGGTTAAGACGCTGAACTGCAGGCTGTGGAAGCTCGGTAGTTCAGCAGTTCGAGACCCGAGTGTGCCGCATGACGGGGTGAGCTCCTGTCTCTAGTTCCAGCTCCTGCCAACCTAGCAGTTCGAAGGCAAGAAATTGCAAGTAGATAAATAGGTACCACTTCGGTGGGAAGGTAACAGCGTTCTGTGCGCCTTGGTGTTTAGTCATGCCGGCCACATGACCACAGAAACGTCTTCGGACAGCGCTGGCTCTTCAGCTTTGAAACGGAGATGAGCACCGCAACCCTAGAGTCAGATTCGACTGGCTTTCGAGCAAGGGAACCTTTACCTTTACCACAATTACAGGAAAACCTCTCCTGGGAGGTGCACCTTGCTCCTTCAGTTTTGATCTTCAGGAGGCAGTCAAAAACAGTTTTGTTTAGGACTGCATTTGGATGACCTTATTTTTAGTAGGTTTTTAGTGGGTTGGTGAACTGGTTAAGAGCGGTGGGCCCTAATCTGGTCATGATGATCATGTGGAAAGCAAGTGGATTTATTGTTACTGATTTCAGAACATTCCTGTTCCACCTCTCCAGGAGACCTGTTTGAGGCGACTAAACTATGATTTAAACATAATTTTAAATTAATTTTTAGGAACTATTGACCTAGCGTTAATATACCAGCCAGATCGTATAGCATAAAATGTTTTTACATTTTTTGAAGGATCTCATGAAACAGGCTAGAATAGACTGCAGAAAAAGTTTAAAAGATCCCCCCTCAAAAACCCACAGAAACGAAAAGCCTGAGTGAAAACAAAGACAAGACTCACTGGATGATGATAATGCTAGGAAAAGTTGTAGGCCGCAGGGAACGAGGAGGACCCAACATGAGATGGGCTGACTCAGTAAGGGGTCCACAGCTGTCAGTTCCCAAGTTCTGAGCAAGGCTGTTCATGGTAGGCCTCAGCAAGGCTGTCCCTGCCCTAGTAGGTTATGACAAAGCTCACCAGTGTTTTTATTTGGTGCTGCATACGATCAATAAATAATATTCCATTGTTTTCTTCAATGGTGTTTCATGGCTTTCATGGTCAGCTGCCTTAAATGTCTCCATCAGGGCCAAAGGGAAGCTGGCTCAAGCATCTGCTGTATGATCTACAGCACCACGGCTCCAATACATGAAGCAACTTCTGACATGGATTTTATATGTGCTGTGCAAAGTGGGTGGCCACCCCGGGTGGCCATCTACGTAGGGCAGTCTGCAAAGGAACTAGGTTAGAGAAATTCATGGCTGAGGGTTTTATCTGTGGCTATATCAGCTACTCTAGCTAAATGGAACCTCCATAAACAGGGGAAGCATATATCTGCATGCTAGAATCTGGGCACAAGTGGTGGAACACTATCATCTTCAAGCCCGGTTTGTGTTTCCCAGGGGCAGCTATCTAGCAAGAGTTGGAGGGAGACCAAATGGAGGACGACATGACGTTGACTTGATCCAGTCAGCTGATTCACATGTTTTTCTTCAGTCAATATAGATCAGGTAGCAGAAAGCCAGGCCACTAGCCTTTGATGGGGAACTTTAGTCCTTAAGAACACTTTGAATTTTGCTGTCACAGAGTTTGGAGGCAGTGGAGATGTGCTGAACGTGCATTAGCTGTCTGGGTCTGTGCTGCTTTCAGCTTCGTAGGGGAAAAAGCAGGGAACTAATGTGAAAAAAAGAAAATTGCTTAAGTCATTCCAACCCTGTCTTTTCCTCCTCTGTTTAGACTACCAAGGTGCAATGATTAAGAAGCGGTGCCCACGTTCAGCCCCAGGCATTTTTATGGCTCAGTGTGCCCCCATGCCCAAAGCGTATTCAGGTAACAGAAGCAGCGCAACCACCCAAGATCCCATTTGTATTCTGGACAAGAACACCCAGGCTCTAAACTTTCTGGCTTTATTATGTGTGAACATCCCTGTGTGTGATAGTACGGAAAGGAAATAATCTACATCAGGGTAGTCAGTTGCTATCTTGAATTGGGTTGCCCTAGAGTTTCTTCTGACGATGGGGTTTCTGAACCGGACAAGTTGGAAAAATCTGGTATTTTGAGAAGAAGCATTTCAATTGCAAGTGGGGTTAGGGCGCGAGACACAATGTGGTGGGTCCCATAGAGTTTGTGTCTGGAGAACTTACCACTCCTTTACTAGTGAGTACCTCTTCTTCCCCTTTCTCTTTTCTAAGGCTGTGGCAAATACCACCCACCCAGCTTCTCTTAATTTTCTTTTCTTAAATAGTGGGATTTATGAGGTCTCGGAACCTGGTTGTCAACATGGAGGTCATAAATCATTCTCAGTTTTTATATTTATGTGATCTCCAGACTGTCGGGCTCAGCCCCATGTCGTGATCTAACTGGTGTCTGAAGCTGATGATTGAGAACTTAAGAAGCCCAGTCAGGGTAGATGTGGAACAGGGCGCCTCTTCTCTTGAACCAGAAAGCTAGTTATGGAAAAGAAGGAGGGACATCAGCTTAATGGGAACATTCAAAGCAAGCAAGAAAAACATATAGTGATGCTGAGTCTGTTCTTTGTGTTTTCACAGTAACGCTGAACGACTGTGCGGTCTACGAGGGTTCTTCAGGTCAGCGGCGTAAACTTCGTGGGGGGGGCAGGGCGCGAGCCTCCCCTGATATTTCCTTGAAGGGTGTTCCTCTTCGGACATCACACGCGAGAGGTCATTCTGGCTCCCCCAGCTCTCCTTCGGGGCTCCTTAAAAAGTTATGGCCGCCGCTGCTGTTCTCGGCGGCAGCTGTGATGCCTGTGGAGGGGGCGAAACATTCTCCTGCCTCCCTGAGCCCCGGGGTGGTGGCCTTGAACTCGTAGAGGCAAATTCTACCTCTCGCGCGAGAGGTCATTCTGGCTCCCCCAGCTGTCCTTAGGGGCTCTTTAAAAAGTTATGGCCACCACAGGGGGGGGGCGACTGCTGAGCTGCCCTCCCCGCCTTTTTCAGGCTCCGCGCCTAAGTGCTGGGCCTGAAAAACAGCTTGCAGAGCCACACACCCCCCCTGCCCTTCCTTCCTTTTGGCTCTGCGCTAGAACGCCGGGCCTGAAAAAGTGCCAGCCGAATGCCAGTTTTGGCCCCGTTATATCCTATGGGCCATTGAACTCAATGGCAAAAATATAGGGTATATCCTGGGGGCTGGAGAGGAGGGATTTTGGGGGAGAGGCTCCAAATGCACAGGGTAGCTGCTGGAGCCTTCCCCCCAAATACCAACCAGGTTTGAAGAACATTGGACCAGGGGGTCCAATTCAACAGGCCCCCAAACAGGTTGCCCCTATTCCCTCCATTGTTCTCTATGGTGGGGAAAAAGTAACTTTTTTCCCACCAGCCAACGTTGGCAATACGTTGCATCCAGAGCTTTGTGCCCTGGAGCCTTATAAGGCAGAAAATACTTCTGCCCTTAGGAGTGAACTTGCCTGCTAAGGAGGAGGTCTCCCCAAGTAAGTAATAAAGCATAGCAAGTACTAAGAGTAAAAATATTACAACGAAGGGAGATGTTTCTGGCTACATATTATTTGGTAATTCTTCTGACTTCTCAGCCTTTGTCGCGGAGGAGATGGAAGAGCCCACCCCCAAGAAAGAGGAATCCCCTCTCCTGAGGCTGGTCTCCCTGCAGAATGCGGATGGCTCCTGGGTCCTTGATTCCAGCCTGGCCAGTCTGCTGGGCCTGAATGAGGCTGAGATCACGAGCAAAACACCTGAACAGGTAAGTTCTCTATGGCAAGGCCAGAACCCGGCATTTGAATAGGCACCTGAGTGGGGAAGCCATTCACCTGCTTTTGAGATGAAGAATGGACATAATGTTAGGCCTAGCCCAGTTTATTCCCTGCAGTTCTGTTTCCAAACCTTTAGTGAATCCAGTTCCAGGGGAAAGGGAGGAAAACTGACACATAACCAGGGGTCATTTCATAGAAAAAGATGTGCAGGAGCTCATTAGCATAGCTCATTAGCATAACTTATTTGCATATGCCACCCACCCACCCCCCACATCACCGGAAGTGTGTCACAAGGCAACACCCACCGCTCAGGCTCCACTGGACTGTTTTGGATTGCTAGCTATTGCTCGCAGAGGAGGGAGAGCTTGTACCTGAATAAGACTTGGCCTTAAAGGTGCCACTGGACTGTTTTGGACTGGGGGGGCGGGGGGGCTCTGCAACTTACCTGGCTGCTTCTTGCTCTGACTGAGGGCTGCTGGGAGCAGGGTGGGGCTTGTTGCATGTGCCCGCCCCCTGGGCCCTTTACTGCCGGAGCTCCGCTCCTGTGCGCTCCTGCAGGAAATGACCCCTGCACATAACCATGGTCTACTCAGTGAAGATATTAATACTCAACCATAATTAATGAAAACCAGGGTTTTCCTGATTTGTGCCCAGTCTGGAAACAGCTTCAGCTTTCTTGCTTGACCATGGTCACAGGGCCTGTGAGTGGGCAGGACTCAGCATCTCTCTTCTTTCCCTCCCCCCCACTAGGTGGCCCCCAATGTGTGGGCAACTGTGCTGGCCATCTTATGGCTCCACTCCAATGCTGCAGAGCAGAGGGATGAATGGGAGCTGCTGGAAGGGAAAGCGCTCCACTGGCTTCAAGCAACTGCAGGTGAGGGGTTGTGGCAGGGGGAGGAAAGGATCCCAGGAACAGAGTGGGACAGATACAAGGCAGAGACTGGAATTTAGAGAGTGGAACTTGGACATCAGTCTCCAGTCCAGATAATCCTCTAATGAGGATCCTGTTCTCCCTGGGTGGCTCTTTCAACCCTTCATGGGCCATTGCCCCAATACTCCTTCTCTCCCCACACTCCTAGAGGATTGGGGGAAAGAG